TTGTACAAAAGCGGCTATAGAAAAGAATCTAACAAGAAACTGAAGAAACAAAAAACTTGTCAACACAAGAACTGCATCGCCTTGTTCTACTTGAGGAATTAAATCTCGCTAGATTGCAAGCCAAAAGGGAACAACTCATGATAGAGAGGCTGACAAATCAGCCAAACCATGAACCCGAAAGTAAGTTAGAGAGACAAGAAGGAGGTTCAAGCGGTATTCTATCAGCATTACGAGAAATTATAGACTTGTAGTAAATCAGAAACCTGAAACTTAAAAATATGTATTTCTGTTTTGTATATATTATGTTAGTTTTCACATTAGGAAGTTTATGTAATAAAATTTATATTGTGTTTGCATTTTGTAATATAATGAAATACAAAAAAACAGAAAATTGTTTTAATTTAAAAAAATTATAACAAGGAAAATAAAATTAATATTGTGTTTGTACCTCTTCTAAGTTAAAAAATATAAAAATCAGAAAACTGCTTTAATTAAACAAACTCAGTATGACATTCTACTTTCTAACATTTAGCTTTAACTAAAGTAAGTATAAGTATAACATTCTACTGCAAACAAAGACGTTATAACGTAACGTATGTATCTAAAACTTTGGGAGAGATTATTTTCTTTGATTAAAAAATATATATTTTTAATAATATTTAAAATTTAAATGAGTACTACTATAAAATCAATAAAATAAAATCCCATCTGAACGAACTTTCAGAGGTTTGTGGTTTTTTCAACAATGGATAACTTGATTTAACTCACAGTAAAAAACTAAATCAATTTTGAAAAATTCCCAATACTTTAGAAAACTATTTAACTTGAGTTAGTATTTAAATATTATCACCGAACATTATCTCCAATATTGCTTGACGTTTCTCAGTGACTCTCTGATGGACGTTATTGTTTTCAGTTTCATCACACACATAATCGGAGTCTCCCAGATTTTCCATTTCATCTAGTGCAAACTCAAAATCATCTCGTAGATGCTTGCTAATATTATGTAAAACAGCACAGCAAACAATTATGTTTGGAACTTTTGACAAAGATGTTTTAACCTTGTGTCCTAGAATGGGAAACCTTTGCTTTAGTTGTCCAAAAACTCTCTCAATTACAACTCTTTCCCTGGAGTGAGTGATATTGAATAATTCTTTAATTCGGTTTTGAGGATTTTTAAAAGGTGTTTAGAGCCAAGGAGCAATTCCATATCCACTGTCTCCCAGAAAGCAGAAATTACCACGAAAACTTGTTACATTTTCATATATAATAATAATAATAATAATAATAATATAATAATAATCTTTATTAACCAACAAACGGAAAAGATTACAATAGTTGTTAAAAAAAAAGAATTCAATTTAATAAATAGGTTGGTTAAAAGGCGCCTATTCAGCAAAGCTGTTCTTCCATAAGGACCTATCGCAAAGTAAAACCTAAATTTGTAAGTGTATATAATAATACCCTAAATAAATAAAAAAAAAAAATACTTTTAAAATAACATCTTATCTTACGACAACATAACCTTTTCTCCTAGATTGTTTTTATAATAATATTTATTAATAATAACAATATTAATAATAATAATGATAAAAAAATGATGTAACAATAATATTATAAAACAGGTCATAAAAAAGCTTTCAAAGAATTTTTTTTAGGCTAATACCTACATCTACATCTGCTTATGGCAACATAACCTCTTTTCGTAGATTGATTTTATAATAATAATAGTAACAAAATCGTATTTATAAAACAAGATATAGGAAAGCTTTCAGAGAATAATTTTTAACGGATCTGAAGATAATATCTACAACTTTGTTTCCAGATTCTGGAATCGTGAACACTTCCAGGCCATTGAGCATTTACACTTGTAATCAATTCATTAGCATCACAAGTTACTTGCACATTTATGCTAGCAAATCCTTTTCTGTTAATAAAATCATCGCCAAATTCTGGTTGTTTTTTAATTTGAACATGCTTGCAATCTACAGAACCAATGAATTTGGAATCAATTCGACCATTTAATTTTTGCTTCTTCCATGGCATCTAGATGAGATGGAAATTTTATCCAGTGGTGGGCCTTTTCGAAAATACAATCAGCTACTATACTTATGGTTTTGCATACTGTAGTATGATGAACGCCGAAATGTTCACCAATACCTGTATCACTAACACGTCGTAGGAATACCTCCATCTTTTGCCGAGCTGCAAGTGCACCTCCTCTGGATTCATCTATCTCTGGTAAAAATAATCTGAAATATAATCTACACTTTCACTTTCAAAACGCAACAAGAGCTTAGATTTGCTTGAGCTGATGCTTCTTCTCTTCCTATAGTTCTTTCTGTTAAGAACATTTATGAAGTCCACCATGTTTAACAAAGTATACTAGCAACTATCGTCGAGAAAAAAGGATGCTTTATAGCTACCTTAAAAATAATCAAGTTATAACTAATTTAAGACAGATCTTATTTTTATTCAAATAAAAATAAGCCAGTACTAGAAAAATATAAGTAAATCCTTATATTTTAAGTAACTACTTGAAACCATAAGAGTTTGCTTATGGCCATAAGTAATCTCTTTTACATGAAGTAGTCACTGACCTTTTATTCAATTTATACTGAGAAAATACTTAAATAATAGGAAGTAGAAGCCAATACTTTTTTTTATTCAATAGACCCTGTATCAGAATTGTCTTTTACTAATTCTGAGGAAATGTTGCCATTAAAAAAAAAAAAAAAATTATTTTTTGTTCAAAAGAAAATTATTGATATTATTTATTTCTGTTTCGATTACTGGCAGATAGTAGCGCAAAAGAGTTTTTGTGAATATTTTTGACCGGAGGTGGTGAGATTGGGTCATCTATTTTATTTGCAAGTGATGTGCCTATTTCTGAAAAAAATTGATTAAATCTTTCTGCTATATCTTTTGCGTCTGTAATATTTTTCCTTTATCTGTAGTTATTTCACGTATTTCTCTATTACTTCTACTATCTCCTTATATTCTGGCGAATGGACTTAGTATCCGTAGCCAAGGGAAACCTAAATTTAATCACACCCACACATCTCCTTATATTTGTTTTAAAGTGCCCCATAACCTTTCGAACTATTTTTATTTTCATTTATTTGTTTGATGTAAATTTTTTTTAACTTGTTTAATTAATTTATAAGTGTTCTATAATTTAAATATCGCATTTTTTTTTAACATTCTCAAAATCCTTTTTGTGAATACTGTATAAACGGTTTATTTCTTTTATTGACTTTATAATTTCTTCTGTTATCCATTATTTTCTTTTTTTAGGGTGGTCTTTTTGTTTTATTAATTTTGTATTGTTTTCTAAAAGTGAATTTAGAGTTTCTGTTAAGTACTTAACTTTTTCATTTACATTTTCTATAGAGTAATAAGTTTCCCAATTTTGATTACCTAATTCTAGTTTTAATTTATCGTAATTAATTTTTTTAAGAAATGACGTTTTTTGACACACATCAACTTTTAGAGGAAAATATGCAATAGTAGCTTTATGGTCTGTTATTTGTGTATCAAAAATTGCCGCCGTATAATTGTCTAAGGTAGGTGCATTTGCCGCGTTTGAGAATCCACATCGTATGCATCTGAGATGTAGTAAATCTTTGATCACGTGATTCACTATATGTAAATGTAATGGGACAGATGTGTACGATGTGGATAAAAAAACGCTCGAGATATAAAAAATGCATCTGATGTGGATTCTCAAACGCGGCATACGTAACTATAAAAATGTCATCTAAACAACTTTTTGAGGGTCCCTTTACTCGTGTACATTTATTTATCAGAGATACAAAATTAAATTCTCCTAGCGTGTCTAAATAAGAGGAGACTAAATCAGAATTTTGTTTTATATTTATATTAATGTCTCTTACAAAGGTTATCATGAAATTCTTCCTCCTTGATGGGTGGTGGTTTGTAAAGTGATGTTATAACAAGTTTATTTTAATTTTTTAAATTAATTATTGATCTTATTGCTTTACACTGTCCTATTTGGATTATATCAGAGTTAATTTTTAAGTTTTTTTTTTACAAATATTACCACTCCATCATTACGATTTATCTCTCTCTCATTATATATTATATTGTAATCTGTTAGCTGAAATGTATTTCAATCTGGTATATTTAGTGTTTCCGTTAAAACAATAAAATCGAAATCATGATTTAACAGTGATAGAAATATTTTCTTTAAGTGCTTGTTAATGCTACATATATTCTGATGGAATAATTTAAACATACAAGTATTAACATTTTTATAATAATTATTTATTTCATCTACATTTTTAAATTCTACGGTATCATAAGATTCATAATTTACGTCTCGAATATACGGGTCCATTTTTGTTTAACAATTTATCGTTGTTTTTTATGTATTATCTCTTTAATAGGTTTTTTTTTATAATTTGTGTCTTATTAGATAAAAATATTTTCTAACAATCAATTATGTTTTAAGATTAATTTGAATAAAATCAGGATTGGAAGGGTCGTTACAGGCATCTATACTATTTCTTCGATGAATTAGCGACAGTAGGGGACACATTAGATCTTTTAGGTCGCAGTGCATTAATACCCCATACCATACCCAACATACCAATAATGTAATCGTGAATTCACTGTACACGAACGTTTTACATGGGGATACTAATTCCCCAGCTTGCGTAGAATTCATATCGCCTCGATATTCGATAAAACGGGGGATGTTTTTGGAAAACATTTTAAATATCGTTTAATATACCACTTTATAAGTCCCATAGAGTAGATTCCGAATCACTATGGGTTTGTTGAGCTAACTTCAAGAATAGCGTATAGCGTAGATACGGACTAAACAAAAATTAGGACATCTTTTTAATGGTATCTTATAGATTTCAAAACTTACATTCCCAAAATGTATTTTATTTTGTTTTTAATAGATTATTATTAAAATTTGAATCTATAGAATATTTTAAATTGAGATTGTACTGGATTTGTTTCGTTTTCAGGTCTCAAAACTTACTTCATACTCGGCCGAAAAAACGACAAAACCCCGTCCTACAGCGGTTCATTTCGCGCCGAAGGTCGACAAAAATACGCCAACTCTCTCCAACTGTTCGTTTCACCTCCTTCCAATTCCTCTTCTTCCCCACCCTCCCGACCTAGGGTTCTTTCCTGTGATACTTCCTCGAACTATATCAAACCCCAACAACAATCTCAACATTTACTCTCGCCGGACGTTTGTAAAATCAAGGCCAGCAGTTTACCTAGCATATTGGATTTAGAAAGCGACGATACTATCTGCACTAGCCCGAACAACAACGATTCTTCCTTGACTGATGACATAAAAACTCCTACTAGTACGGCTAGTTCCGGTAAATACGCTGGGAAATTGAAAAATTGGAAGATTCCTAAGTTTATGAGAAAGTTGTCAGATCAGAAACAGGATTTGGAAGTCGACGTGTTCACTGTGTCGCCATTATCATCGACCGAAGACGGTTATCAACAAGTGCGTATTTTATTTTCGAATTTGAATAACCGCATGTCAAATTTATTTAACATAGGCGCCACCATGAATTTTGATCGTTTATTTTTTTTGTAGGTTCCTACAATAATCGAAGCTACCATAAATGGCAATAAAAAGGATTCCTTCCCCAAAACAGAAATAGTAGTAGAAGATACATTCAAAGACAATATAGACATAAAATCGTACATAAGTCAATCACGGAGCGACATAGGCCAATTCGACTATACCGTGAACACAGAATTCATTAGAAGCGGTAGCTACAGATCGCAATATGGCCGATCGCCGGTATCAGACTTCCAATATTTGCATAGATCGGGAAGTAGTCGTTCGAGAAGGGGCAGGTCCCCTATGTTCGACGGTTTGGAGCCAACGGAAAGAGCTAGGAGTGCTACAGTGTCATCGAGCAATCTTCATAGGCCGAAAAGGTCCTTCGAAATACCTAGCCGGTTATCCAGTGTTACTTGTTTGGAGGAAAACACCAATCAGAGTAGGAAGGATTCGGGAATTCGCAGTAATAGTAGAAAGAGCAGTATACAACAGGTGGGTAATTCTTCGGCCATTTTTTTCAGCTTTAGTAATAATACTCCCCAAGCACAAAACAAAAATACATTCAGATATTTTAATTCTCGTTTTTTATTTGTCTTTCTAAAACGGTCCTTAAACTCTGTGCCCATGGTCTAAGATGGTACTGCTTGCTCGCTTACCAATTTCTTTCCTTACTACTCTAAAAATCCAATGAAAACGCTTTTTTCAACATCACTTGATTTAATTTTTAGATCGACGCAGCTCTGACCAATTCCGAATTACTTCACCGTGTATCCGGTTACTACACGTCGAGCCAGTTTTCGATCAACCACACCCCCCAAGTGCCAAAGAAATTTGGAACTCCATTTTACGATAAATACGGAGCATCAATACAAATTTTGCGAAAGCAATCAGACAGGCAGTTAATAAAATGTGTTCAAGACAATTCCAAATCGAAATCATCTTATTTTATCAAGCCGCCTTTGTCCAGGGTCACGCTCTTTTTCAAAGACAGGGAAATGGAGAGGCAGTACAGACAGAATGTCCATCGAATAGCCAAACGAGACGATCAGGATATAATGACTTTAGCCAACTCGAAATTTAATACTTACTTAGATGTCATCGTTTCTGTACTGGTTTTTTTGCTGGTGTCTTTAGGCGCTGAGTTAATATACGGCGTAACGTCAGTGTGGCTTATCACTTTTTTTACGTTGTTGCTTCTGCAGTCGCTAGGCGTCGCTTTATGTGTTAAGAACGTCGTGCGATGGTTCGATCGGGTGTTATGGTGTTTCATCCGATTCTACAGGTGGAACATTTTCGGAGCGGTGCTAGTCAGCTTGCCTTTGGTTTCCGCAATAGCGAACTTCGCCAACGATCGCAACTTTTCTCCCAGAAACCTCGATGTATTCAGTTATCTGTTCTTCGTCAGCCTCGTTCATTTTTGCAACTTTACCCAGCTGAATTGCTGGATGAAGAACATACTGGTTACGGCAAGCAGTTTAGCTTTAGCTTCCGTATTCATATTCATCGAAGACAGTTCCTGCGAATACATCGGTAAGAATTTGAACGGCTCGTCGGTGTTCGATAGCTTTAATTTCACAAATCAAACACAATACAGATCGTGTTCGTTCTATAAGGCTGAAATTGTTCTGAATTTGTTTATATTGTTAATATTAATTTGGTTGTTGACTAGGGAGTTCGAAATAGGGTACCGACTGAGCTTTCACACCAATTTCGTTGCGAACCGAGACAAAAACAAAGTACAAAGTTTGAAGAACCAAGCGGACTATTTGATTTATAATATCGTTCCGGAACACGTGGCCGAGCAGCTAAAGAAAGACGCTAAATACTCAGAGAATTTCAAGAACGTCGCCATCATATTCGCTAGCATCGTGAATTTCAACGAAATGTACGACGAGAGTTATGAGGGCGGCAGGGAATATTTGCGAGTGCTGAACGAACTGATCGGGGACTTCGATGAGTTGTTGGATCGACCGGAATTCCATTCTGTAGAAAAAATCAAAACGATCGGTTCCACATTTATGGCGGCTAGCGGGTTGAATTCGCAAAAGCGTCGTTTGCAACAGGATCCCAACGAGCATTTATACGCCCTCATGGATTTCGCTATCGAAATGCAACACGTAGTGAACGATTTCAACAGGGATTTGCTGGGTTTCGACTTAGAGCTTCGCATAGGATACAATTTCGGAGATGTGACAGCCGCCGTGATAGGCAACACTAAATTGTTTTACGACATATGGGGCGATGCGGTCAATATCGCTTCTAGAATGGACAGCACGGGCACGAAGGGCAGGATACAAGTAGGCGAACGCGCTTTGCCAATTTTACAGGAGAAGTACGAGTTCGAGATGAGGGGATCGATTTATGTAAAAGGTAAAGATAATATGAATGTGTATTTTCTCAAGAAGAAGAAAACGTCTCCGTTCCTTGCGGTACCGGATACCTCATTGTGATTCTTAGATTAGACGGATTATATGAAATTTTTAAGCAAAATTGATTGGTGAGACGTAAGATATCAATCATTTTTTACAAATTGACAAATTGGTACGGGACAGCGAACAGAATTTCGACAATAAATTTGTATTTAAAATACAACTTTTTTTTAATGCATTTCTACAGAAGAACTACTAGTCTGTATCGGTATTAAATGTTTCTTTTTCATGAAATAATAATAATAGTAAACTAAAAGAAATAGAGCCAGAAAAAATGTTTATGTTTACCATAATTTTGCACATATACGAAAAATAACTCGGGTAATATGCAATAAATAAAAAAATAAAATGCAGGAGTACTCCAATTTTGATTAATACGAAAAATTATTTTAAACTATACAGAGTGAATCCTAAGTTGATACTTTTTTAACTGTGTATAGAAGTCGTTAAAATAGACATATTTTTCAAATAACTAATAAGAAAGATACAGAATTAAAACATATAATTCCGGGAATGGAATTGTGTATAAAAAATTAAGTTAAATGAGAATTCTTAAAAAGTATCAACTTTCGATTATATATAAGCTATTTTTTGACTGGGAGACTTGTTAGTCTCATTATTGTCCTGATGTGGCTTCTCCATTGCGAATGTCTCTTCTTCACCTCATATCAGGTCTACCGGCCATTTTCTTTTTAATCTGCTCTTTCTTGCACTATTAGTTTAAAATGTTATTGATATGTGCTTCCACTTGTGGTGTTTTTGACCTCTCTTTTGTTTACCTCTTGGACTGTTATATGCACTTGCTCACGCTGTCCCATGACTCGATGCGTCTAATATTTGAAGTCATATATCGAAAATTCAATTTTTTTTGTAGAAAAATATCTTAAATATGCCGAACTAAGAATAACCAGAAAGCATACAATTATAGTATCAAATCATAAGGCTCCTAAAAATTCAGTTTTTTAACTGACATTTTTACACTTTGACACAATGTTGCTTGAATCTCAATGTATTTCTAACCCATTATAATCACTCATAGGTCCTTAAAATATACCTCAGTTAAATCTGTAGTTTGCATTGTTGTGAGAATTTTTAGAGTACGCCTTCAAACTCACCTAATGGATTTTCACAAAAATTGTACAATTCTTTCATACAACCTAAAAAACAGTATCTATTATTATTTTTTTTAGGGAAACATCTATCATTTTATTTTTTTAATACTCTAAGCATCATAGGCAGGGATCTTTAACGAACCCAACATTAATGGGCTTGGGCCCGACGGCTTTACATGTCCAATCAAAGATGGCACACTTTACGCTATATCTCGTACTTATTGATATAAAACCTGCCAGCTGTGGTATGCAACTACACGGGCAGTTGTTTGGGCTTTATACGTACCCACCTTTCCTTAAAATGGTAATCCATCCAAGTACTAACCGCACGCGATTCTGCTTAACTACAGATATTGATAAACATTAGTGAACCTGCTAAGCCCGACCGCTGCCCTTTTTTACCGTTAAACATCCAAATTTGGCGTCTCTGAACGTATTACATTATTTTGATCGATTTATTAACCAACTTCAAAAAAGGAGGAGGTTCTCAATTCGTCAGAATTTTTTTATTTGTTCAGCGATATTTTTTTACCACGTCCGATTTCTATGATTCTTTTTTTGTCAGAAAGGGGGTACCTAAAGAATGGTCCCATATAAATTTGGTCAAGATCTATTAATGGCGTCCATAAGAAAATCATTAAACTCTTCATTTTTTTATATATATGTTCAGCGATAATTCTTTAGTACTTTGTCCGATTTTTGTTAAAAAGGGGACACCTCCGAGATTGTCTCATATACATTTAGTCAAGATCTGATGATGGGATCTATGATAAAATCAGCAAACTCAATTTGTAACGGCATCTGCACGATTTTGAAGTCTTTTTTTAATTACTTTTATAATTACTGCAGTAGAAATTTGTAAATAACAATATTGGACCATCCATAGTGGAATAAACAATTCAAATTTTGTCAAAAAACGCTTAAATAAAATCGTTTAAACTACTTAAAAAAGAAACATGTAATACTCAATCATCTGTTTGTAAACCCTTTGCATTTACGCATTTTAATAAAAGAAGTGTCAATTTATGAAAAATGATTGTACAACGACTAGCGAGGTTGAAGAGAAAAATGTTATTTACCAAAGAGTACTCTAATGTAATACTGCTTGAAAATGTGTTTGTGTAACAAACTTATTGTACCATGTCGCTTTAATAGAGTAAGAAAAAATTATATACATGTTGACAATACCAATTTATTGAACAACAAAGAAGAAATAAAGAATCAAAAAATATATGGAAACGTTGTTAGAGTTCTAGAATGAAGTGTATAGGGATCTTCGTTAGTTTTTAGAATCGTAAAAATTTAAAATTTGTTCCTAACAGAGGAAGAATAAAATAACCTCTATTTTTAGTAAAAGATACTCAGACTAAAATGTTTTTGTAAAAAAAAGTAACTGGAAACGATTCAATATTAACGAAACTAAGCCAAAGGTTACTAACCAAAAAATTATTAAAAAACATTACTATTTTTTTTAACGAATAAAGAATGCACAAATGTTTAGATTGAAATTCACCGCTTGAGGTTTCTTAGATAATTATAGGTATTTAAAGTTGTACAATGAAGCAAAAGACTTGCCAGATGTTTTTTTTTAGGAAATTGCCATTTTAATGTCAATAGATGAACCACTATTTAGGATGTATTAAAAAGTTTCTGATAGAATTTTACGGAAAAATAATTATGATATAGGGACCACTGTTTTAACACAAAATATGCTCAACTATTTGAATTATAAAATTTTTTAATATATAACCTAATTATAAATATTCTTTATTTCTTCTCAAAAATAGCGTTTTAACAAAATATCGATTATTTCACTGTCCTCAAATTATACCGTGTATTTTAGAAAGAAAACGAAAAGAAAAACATTTTATATATTATACAGGAAGATTATTGTTTTATACACAATTTTTATAAAACTAGTAGACCAAGAGGCCAGGGTAAAAAATACCATGTGTTTCTAAAACGATAAAACAGCTGATAACCAACTGGAGTAAGGTAAAATGCCAATGTGTAGGACTAGGTAATAACCATTGTCTGTTTCATATTGTTATAGCCTGGTTCCACAATCTGGTGGATCAGTATTTGTTTGAACTGTTTAGAGTGAAATAGAAAATAGTTATTATAATTACTTCCGAATAAGATAAAAATTACAGCACCCATATAATCATTGTTAACTTCGTCAGAAGTTAGGGGTAAAATTGTGCAGCATATCAGAAATTATTTGTACTATTACTTTCATCCAATATCTCAATTTGCCAAAAAAAAGCCTTGTTTATTTAGGGGATAGGAGCAAGTTTATAAAAAAATATATGATTTTTTATTCGTTCCTTTATATCGGCCAATAAAAAGTCTATCTTTCTGTCAAAGTCGTAAATTTGTAAAAAATATAAAAACTATTTAGTTTTAAGTAACATAAAGACATTCAAAATCTAAAATCGTTATTAAGTTGTTTTTTAAATATTTCTCTGAAACTAACGGTATATATATTTTTTTTATTTTAATTTGTGTATTATTTGTTAAACGTTGACAAAGCGTTTGTTTTTTGAACGCTTTTGACAAAAAAATACACTTCAAAATGTCAAAAATGTTCCTGCGTAAAGTTTCTACTTTTTAACTAAATTTGGTATATTCTAGAGTTTTTACTTACTACTTGGCATAACAATTTTAATGCCAAAATGTTTTTATTTTTTCATTAAAAATTGAATTTATATTCCTAAACGATTGATCATCAGAACCTACTTAATTTCTAATTTAAACACAACATAACTTTTTTAAAACGTACCTCTTAAAAGAGGTTCATTTGTTTTTCAACACTTTATAGTACCAAGTTGTTTCTATGGTTCACTATCTGAACTACTCGATGTATCATCCTTTTTGGGTACTATTAGAATCTATAGAAAAAATAATTTTGGTTAAAATTATCAGTCAAAATCTTATATATCAAAATCTTATATATACAAAATCTTAAACGGTACTTTACTTAAGGAGGGGGTAAGGTTAATTCGTGCAAAAAAGGCACATTTTTGTGAATTTTTTTTTACGTCACAGTTAAAATATGTTTATTGAAACTAATGGTACATTAAAGTATAACATTCAAAGAATATTGTATCAAATTTTCATGTAGAAATATTAAAAAATACGAAAATGGCAGCAATTATTCGGAAGCGTCTCGGAAAAAGGTAGAATTGCGGTGCCCCTCCTAACTCGGTGCTGGATCATCAGAAATAAAAAAATCAAAGTTCTCTCGTTAGATAATCGTTTTCCCCAGGTAGCGCTGGGAGGGTTTTTCGAAATTTAAATTTTTCACTTTTTGGGAATACTTTGAAGTAAAAAACGCGATTCTTGCAAAAAAATAGGATAATTTGTTATTATAAAAAAAAAAATGTTAACATATTTGAAAAAAAAAACTCTCCAGCGCTACCTCGTAAATTATGTACAGAAATAGTGTTTAAAATTTCAAAAGGATAGGTGCAGTAGTTTTGAAGTTATGAAGGGCACCGACTTTGGAAACGTGAGTTGTGGGTAAAACGCTTTAAAGTTTTGAACACTAAAAAATTAGAAATAAAACGTTCATAAGCGAGTTTTATCGGCTTATCTCACACTGAATCATCGATGCCAAGTCCATAAAGGATGTTGATATTATTCATGTCTAAAGCATATTTTTGCTCCTGTTTACGACAAATCCTCATTCATGAGCGCTTGATCCACTACTGATTTCTGTGTTTTGCATGTAGGTTAGTAAAGGAAAAGAACACGCCAGGCCAATGCTACACTAAATTATATACAGTACAGGTATAAACACGTTTGTACTTGTCTTAAAATTTCTATAAAGACAGGTAGAAGGTAAGGTTAGGCATTATATAGAGAGCGAAACAGCTGCCAGGCAAGGGCGGCTCCGAGACGAATTTTCTGTGGAGGTCATTGCCTTCAGGCATTCTCTTTTTAGCATCTTTTTTTTAATAAAAGGCTCATAAATCGTAAGAATTTTCATCTGGGGGGGGGGAGGGGGTGGCATGGTCCTCATAGCCCCCTGGAGACGCTCTTGCTGCCAGGTAACAAGAGCGCGCTCGTGCCGGGCAGGTATTTTCTGATGCGCTGAGTCATGTATGAGGCGAGGTTATTTAAACCGCTGTATCTTCGTTAGTTTTGCTCCGATTCATCTCAAATTTTCACACAATATTCTTGAACGGTTCTCCATTCACAAAATAAAATATAAAAAAATGCAAAAAAGGTTTAAAAACTTTACTCCACCCTTAAAACTACTTACATATTGCAACCAACGTCCCTTTTGTTTTAAAATGCACAAATATAAAAGAAATGAACATAGAACTTATAAGTACTTTAAAGTGCGAAGGGGATGTGGGAAAACAGTAGAGTTGATCCGTTTTGCCTTTATTTTTGTATTTTAAATTAATGTGTTTGGACTTGTTAGAATCCTGCTTTGTCGTATCCGATTTAGAGGCATTTTTTTTTTTTCGATAAAATGTACCGTTATTAAATTTCTGAGTGATATTTAAAAAATAATATAATAGATTTTATAATGATTTTCTATACAAGCGTTTTTAGATTTCCGAAAAGGACATTGTTAAATACTGAATATTTTTTATCTTTTTTATAAAAATTATGCGACTTCCAACAGATAGGTGGAGAATTTGTTGTCCGATATGATGGCAATTTCTTAGAAATATTAGGTTTGTTCCAACAACTAATCCATGACCGATCCGAAATTAATCTCTGATCTACTACTGCGCAAGCGTGACCTTTTTTTCTGATTAAATTCTTGTTGGAACGCACTTCTGACTGTCATTATGCACATTACTTCGGAAAATGTATTTGTTATCTATACCCTAAACACAATTTATATTTACTTAATAAATATTTCCTCTGCTTCTCCTAAAATAAATCATCTTAACTTGTAGATTTGAAAGTATATCGTCTGAAGAAAAAAGTTTTCGCATTATTTTATATAAAAACGATATTTTTTTATTCTACGAAATAAATAATTGATCAGAAATCCAAATCAAATGATATATTTTAAATAAAACAATTTTCATTTGCGATCTGAGCAAACTTAGGGGTCTGTTCTGTAACAATTCCTTTATATTTTAACGGTCGTTAAAATATTGGAGGCCTTTAAAAATATTTTCGTATTCACTAACTTACTTCTGTTATTATTCAAACGGATTCCTTTAAAATAGTCCTCTAATAATAATTATTTTTAAAGGGATGTTAAAATTCACCTTTAATGTTTAACGGAACTGATAATGGCGTTTTATGACCCAAATGGAGCAATTTTGATTGCAGAGTTACCGGAAAGTGAAGAAAGGTATTATAAACTACAAAACATTTACAATGTAGGTACATTTATTAAATTTAATAATTCAGAACTGAATTTCGATTACATCAAAGGTCAGTTAGGGAATTGAGCGATCTATTTCAGTTACCAAATGTAGATTTAAATAATATTTTTCGGCTTTAAAAATGTAGCCATTATTTATTTGAAACATTTATTCACCTGTTAAATATTTAAAATATCTTCACCTATAGTATGCATTGTAGGTTGTTAATTTTGAATTTGGCTGAATATAGCAGCCCTTACTCCTTACTAGGGAGGCATAATTAAGGGATTACAGAAGTCTTGAAGTCAGTAATTGTAATGGTTTGTAGATTTGTCTTGTGTTCGTTATCGTTACGTAGCCAGAACTATAGTTAATATTATAGAGCCATTTTCGTTGTATCTATTGGGTTTATTTTCCCACCGTGAGACAAATTTTGCTGTTCTCAAAAGTTTATCATCAACTGTTTTTGGTTATTAGTAGTTCTTGGTGCGCAAGACATTTTTTATTTTAAATGTATGTTTTGGTTTTGAATTGAAAATTAAGGGTTTGTATGGTTATGTAATGTAATCTTTGAAAATTACTTCAAATGAGTCTTAAATGCGATGTTGTCAAGTGTTCTTCTGTCATTTTTAAGGCAATCCGTTAAAATAAATAATTTTTAAACAGGCCTCTAAAATTTGTGTATACAGAATACCATTTTTGGTTAAAAAATTTAAAAGATAAATTTTTAAAGGTCTCTAAATTTTAACGGATGTGTTACAGAATAGACCCCTTATACTGCTAATCCGAGAAAAATTTAAAAACATCTCTGACGGTTTGATGCCGATCCGAAATTGGTCACAATATTTGTTGGAACAGTGGACTTACAATCAGGCATTTGGTTTGAAGTTTGTTGGAACGCTCAAAGTAACAATTAGGCATTCCAAACTGAATGGCTACCAGTGGGTTTTGACGGGGTATGATATGGCAAAATTATGGCAACCCTGTAGGCCTGGTCATTTGACAAGATCAATGAAATAGATAGTTACATAGATTGATCATCCATATTTTTCAAAATAAACATAAGCTTATGCCTTAAAGTAAAAATATAAGCAATTATTTTTTTTAATTACCTAAAACACATTTTTGCTAAACCGATTCAAATTAATAAATATTTACCAGACAATATGGCCGCTCGTAAACGACCAGCTTTGAGCAATCTATATAACTATATATGTATCATTGGCCCTGTTAATGACAACATGACAACAGGGTTGCCATATCTAAACTGTCATTACCCACTGGTAGCCATTTGGACAGGTCGTTGGAATGCCTAATTCGCATGATTCCGGCGGATTTGTACTCTGGTTGGAACAATCCTATTTAATAAGGTTAATATGCTATATTAGTGATGACGTAATTTGTATTCCTCTGTCATTGACAGTAGACATTAAAATAGATGTTATAGGTGTTCATTAACAATTTATTTCTATTATTTTCATGAATGTATTCATTTAAACATTAAATATAATTTGTTACTTTTAAGCTACTTTTTTACGACCTGTAAACAATATTGAAATCGTATGTCAAATTCAATGACGTAATGGTTTTTGTTAAAAGTTAACTGTCAGTGGAACAAAAATTACGTCTGGCTAAATATAGTGTATAGTAAATACCGATCATTTGAGATATATGTGTAGTGCCTCAGTTGCACTACATACGTTAGAATGTTACACACTTGTCACTTCAATTCGTGGCAGTCCTAGTAGGTATGACAAAGGATAAACTTCGGCACTAAGTGTGAGATCTTTAAATTTCTTTATCGCATCATATTAAATAATTGTCGTTTGATATTTATAAGATATATTTAATAGCACAAATGACAGGTCGTGTATAAAAATTAAAATCATGATGATGATCAATAATCTATTGTAACGTTTGTTAAATTTATTTATAATTTATTTATTTAAAACACTATTTACAATTTATTTATAACATATTAATTAATTTATATAATACTTAGACACTCACAATTCTAATTTATTTATTACAATTTGTCTTTACTGTCCAACACTTCATTTGAATCTTCCTCTTCCGTCCGCAAACTCGCGCTATTTATACAAAGCCAGCTCTGTACCAGTAGTTTCTAGACCATCTCGAATGTTCGAGAATTATCCATCTATGACTCAACGGCCACGTACCATTTTTTTTTTTGTATATTCTTGAAGCATTGCGTTTGCCTCTGTCCTGCGAATCGAAACATAGATGAAGCGGCTTGCAACGGCTGAGCGGAACATGGTTGGCTTAGGCGTTCTCACAACACTATTCTTAGCAACCGAAGTTGGAGAGGAGTTTATCCTTTGTCATACTAGAGGCGTTTTCGGAATCCTACTATAGATAACAAATCCAGATTACTGGGTTTATCAATTGGATCACCTGAATCAGTAAACTTAGTGGCGACAGTTTCGAACGAGTTAGATTATTGTTCCTGTTCATCTACGTTTGTTATTCTTTGACTTTTCTCACGTAATTGTTAATATTATAAACCCTTATTTATTAAAAAACCATTTTAATTAAACATCTATAGACTAATAAAATCGCAATATGGACATAAACATTACATATAAGTAATTAAATGTAGAACAAACTTTAAAGCTACAACTGGCAGATACCAGACACTAAAATATTGCGTTATCCCTTTATAAAATCCTGCGGTACGCATGCGGATCTATTACTAATCTACTCGCAGAGTGGATCACAAAATATTGATCTCGATCACAAAACTGAATCAATAATCTACTAGTTTCTAAACACGGATAGGATTAGTAACCCTAGGTAAACGAACAATAGCTTGCATAATCTTTTTAATCCGAGTAAGTTTCCGAAAACGCCTTAGGACTGCCACGATTTGAAGGGTTGGCTAAAAAGTGACGTATGTAGTGCAACTGAGGCACTACAATAAGCTTATACATTTTTACCCCTAACTTCTGACGTACTCTTAAATTAAGCGATTTTTTTCTTCGACGTGGTCTATATTAATAGTGTGAGTCCAGAATTTGACAACTCATGCTTTGTAAGACTGTTGTAAACTTCATTGCAATGATTGTTTATTATAACGTTGAAGATATTGAATATTTTTGAACACCTATATTGATATTTAATTTCATATTTCCATTTTATAAACAAAATAAGTATTTCTGAAACTACGTCACTGGGCATCCGTAGATATTTTATTACTACGACCAATATTATATTGTTCCATCTTTTTAGAAATACTGCATTTTTTACTGTGACCTCTCCACCTATAGCCTTTTCTGTAATCCAAAGAATTTAACTTATGGACTTGAATATACAGCATGTAAACGACTGACGAACAGAAAATGCTTATTAAAACAAGTAATGAGATTGATCGTACCATGTGATTTTGATGCATTTTGTTGGTTGTACAGATTGGTTTCGTTTACTGAACACTCTTATAAAATGTTTACGTTGATACCATTTTAAATCTAAAAATTAACAATGAACATATTGGCTTTATAAAGCTAGAGTCTTGTTTGTTGTTGTGCAGTATAAGAAAAGTATCTTTTGGTTTCATCAAATTTCTTAACGACTTGATAAGGCAAAGCTACAGGCAATGTATGATCAGTATTTTTTTGTATCGGCTGTCCAAATAAGAACGCCGTCACTCGAAGGCTACAGGCTGTCGTCGTAGAAGTGGTCAAGAGGAATCCCTGGATATTATTTTCAATTTGCTAACTTTGGCGTAACACTTTGACAAATGATAAACAGGTAAACGAGTGGGTTGTCAAAAACAGCTAAATAATACACTTCGATTTTCTAAAACCAAAAGGTTTCGCGACAACAATGCTTCGATTGTAACGATAATATAAAACAAGATGACCATACTATGAAAAAAAAAAAGAGTAAAGTTTTTAAATGTAATCAACCTAATACTATCCAGTGGTATATCTAGCTTATTTACTTTTCAAAATTTCAATAAAACTGCTTAATATGAGGAAGATTTTCAATATAAAAGAAATTAATTATGGACAAAATCAAATAGGGTAAAATTTCATACATATTTTTTTCCAAGTACTTCACAATAACAAACTTTCATAATATAGAATTGATTCTGTTGCAAGGTGTAGAATTATAAATATTTTTTTCTACGATCACTATCCAAAGTAGGCTTTTGCACTTCGAAGTACAACCGCAAAGTTGACGTTTTCCGCGAACTGACATTAAGTGACAGCTTTGTCGCCCGCCGAGCGGAAAACTTAACAGCTTTGTTGCTCGCCTAATTTATTTAGATATAATATTTTCAAGTTATTTGTACGTAGTTTGATGTTTTTTGTTTTATTATCCAAATTAACATTGAATATCAACTCCGTTTTTCATGATTTACGTAGATATAGGCTACACATTATACACTACTTACGACAAATTTTCAGTTTTTATATCTATTTCTTAAAATAATGTGATCGTAGAGAAAATCTTGTGTGCATTTTGAGCGAAAAGTTTGTTGCCTCCAACTTTTTGTCTCAAGCGGCACAGTATCACTTTTCGCTCTTAATACACAAATAGCTATTAATCCATTTTATACTTATTATTTTTTATTGTATTATATTTTTAAACCAGTGATTGTCTTTATACAATTTATTTATTAGGAGAATTTCGCATTTATAGATTAATTGGTTCTAGAAACTTAATGAGTCAAATTAAAAAATATATATAATTTTGCACCCTTGTAATGAAATATACTGATATTTATGTGCGCGTATTATAAAAGTGTTCTGAATACAAACAACCGTCGAGTGTTATATTCAAGATAGTGATCTCGTTACTGTCTTAGTGTTTTTTATTGGCATACGCCCAGTTTTGATAGTGTGAACACTTGGAACCAGTGCAAATGGGTGCATACCAATTCAAAACGCTATTTCTATATTCACTACAGAGATATTTTTTAAGTACATCCGAATAAACTGTGATATCTTTATTTATTTTTCGTCATTGCACTTTGACAAAATAAAAAAACATTAATTCTACAATAAATACTGTACTTGCTCATCTGTCTTCCTCATTTGACAATGTTCTACAACAGGGTTTTATGTATTTTTAAGGTCTTCCTGTCTTTATATTTTTTAAATAGCTCGGATTTAATTTTCTTATTACCATACAAAAAAATATTCAGTAAATTTCCCATTGCCGTAGTGCTCAATATTTTTTTTGCACAATTAATGGACTAAATTATTTTGTCAAAGTGCAGTCTTATTCAAAATATTTTTTTTTATTTTATTTATTTGTCCTTTTATTTTATTGTGACTAAACTAAATTATTATTTCTGTTGTTTTCTAAAAGGAATTTAGTCTATAATTTTGTTGGTTTTTATAAGATTTTTAAATATTGTACACCAATTATTGCATTTATTTCTGCCTTTTTTACATTTTGGTTGTGTCGATTGTTATATTAATTTTTGTTTTGTTATTTTTATGAATAAAAATATGCTCTGTATGAAAGAAATATACTTTAAAACTTTACCATCAACGTAATAAACCACACACAAAAAAAAACTGATATTACACTGTAGCTTTAAAGTAACAATGTACCTTATAGCAAATATAAGAAGCTAAAGTACAGCTGTTCTACTTATTTCTATAGGGTGATTCATAGGATAAAAGTGGAAATTCATTGAGAGGTAGATCGAACTGAATCATGAAATTGTAATTAAAAAACCGTAATGCCGTGTTAACAAAATTAATTTCAAAGTATAAAGCATTGCAACAAAATTTCATAATTCATTTCATGCATTAATCCTCAACGAACTTCTTTGATGAATCACCTCATATTTCCTATCCATATCTTAGAATCGAACTGTAAACACATATTATACCTATGTATTTTTATAAACTTTGTCCCTTTTTTCAACTAAAAGCAACTGATTCGTATTTTTAACAAAACTCGGTTTCGGTTCTAAGATAAAATATTGTTCGCTTGTTCTATAACTTGTTATTAACTTTTGTTTAACTAGTGTCATATAATAAGTTACATCTAATATAATTTTAAATACAACGTACAAGATATCCAATACTCCAGGTAGTAGGTAGGTCGAAATAATAATAATTCCTAATTTACATATTTAAAAGTATGAGTACCTAATTAGTACCACAGCTCTGAAATAATCACATTTGGTGCCGGAAAAAATACGTCCTCTGGACTACATGAACCTAAATTTATTCACTTAGCCGTCCAAAAAATACAATAAAATTATTTTTTAACACTCTTATTTTTTCCAAACTTTTACCTGTTTTTGTAAAATAGAAGAAAAGTAACTAACTAGGTGCTGCATTGGTGTGACGTAATTTGTGTGTCAAACATCTATCATTGATTTTGACATATAGATAAATGTTTCGAGTTTTTCAGTTTTTTTTTTAATATTGTTTATTAAATTTAACTATTACAGTGGTACGCTTTTAAATGAATTTTAATTTAACATTTTAAACTCTTTTTACATATAAAAATGAAATAGACATTAATTTTGACATAAAAAAACGATTATATATTTGAAGTTACCTCTCGGCGACGTTGCCAACTATATCAAATCTGTAGGATGGCTGACGAGCTAAGAGGGACTTATCAATTTAAGAGGATGCACAATGGATCTAGTCACCTAAGTATCTTAGGGGCAACCCAACCTCCACATGTTACAGATGATACTTGATGATATCTACTAACGATCAAAATAAATTTGTTTTAAGATAAAAACTATGTAATTTAGTCATAAATCAAATGAGCTCAAAAATTGAACAAAGTACTGTTAATTTCAATTAGCACACATCTTACGCCATTACTAAAGCAGCATATACGTGAAACTTCTAAAAATTTTAGATCAATATATTAGACCAACAAATATTTTTGACGTTGTGACTTATTGTTGACCCTAGATCTTTAAATGTATAGAGCTTCTGTAAATATTATTTATATTTATACACTGTATTTAATCATATTTATTTATTCTGTTGACTTTTTTGTTTGTGAATCACTTGAGGAAATTAATAAACGAATTCTGTGAATTTAAAAAACCTACCGCATCTCAAAAAGGTATGAATTATAATGCCTGTCCTAATTTATTTAAATATTCTGTCAGATGACATTAGCAAAATGTCAATATTGTTAATTTTTTCATATAATTTATTCTGGACTTTTATTTTTAAACGATTTTTCTCAAATGATTCATTGTACAATTGTTTGTCGTTTTCTAAAGTGCCTTCCAAATATGTAAATTTTTGTTATTTAGTTTATATACCTACGTTGTATAATTTTTATTCTGCACCGTCCTTCTAAAATAATTGTATATTAAAAAAATAATGATATTAAACCCCTAATAAATCAATAAGCCTTTCCATTGTTATATAACCCTCCATCTTATTCTCCCCAACTGTCGCAAGTAAAACAACATGTAAATAAAAAGTAACTTTTAATTTAGGAATGACTTATATACAACAACAATTTTGGTTTTAAACGCTACATATTCTCTTGCTACATAGGAAACTTTTAGTAGAAGAGTCAACACAAACAAACCCAATTAAGACACTCCTTTGAGGAGTTCAGGTCCAATTCCCAAATTGGTCGCAATCTTTAACTGCGAAGCAGCAGCATCTCTAAGAGAGAACAAATGCACCATCTCCATCTCTGATCTAGCCAGGGCTATGGCTTTATTAAATAAGTCAATGGCCAACACTAGATTGCCCCTGAAAAGAATATTATATGAGATACTATAAGAAATCTGCTACTTAAAATTAGTGATGTAAAGGGGGGAAAATTCCCTTTGTGCTGTGAGGAAACGTTGGCGCATGATAGATCGTTCTTCGTGCACGAACGATCTATCGTGAGCAAACGTTACTCAGGAAGCACATTCAGCATGAACAAGAATTTTTAGCACGATCCCGACCAATCAGGGCGCTTCATCCACATTCATTGCATGACTCAACATGCTGCTGCTGTAAACCCTCTTGTTTTATTTTGGTACTTGATTTAGTTAACACATTTGAGTCTGTCAAAGATTAGCAGCTGTGGTTTGGTTAATGTTAATTTTTTTTTGTTTTCCATAGAAAATTAAGTACTTGATTTATTATACGTTATACCTTCAATCAATATGCCCAGAAGGAAATGAGAGGCTTTTTTTTAGAAATTTCGAATGTGTTTAAGTGTTTTCATCCAATTTTCTAAAATAAAATGTCAGTTTGGTAATATCAAATCGGAGTGACATCAAGATGTACAATGTTGCGACTTAAGTTTTTTAATAATTTGGAGTAGACACAGTAAAAGTTAATAGGTAAAATTGCAGTTTAATTTTTCTTATAAAAAGTTTTATATTTAAGTGTACTTCTTACACTATGTTTCTATGTTATTTAAGTTTTTGCTTTATTTTTACATAATATAGATTTTTTAATATTAGAAATTATTGCTGTATTATTTGAAACACAGAATATCAATAGTCATTTTCTTATCAAGCTTGAATTTTGAGCACTTTCAGAATAAACTGCAAAAAGTTTTCGAATAATTTACTATTCCCCAAACATAAATTCTCAGGTTTTTTCGTCTATTCTTGTTCATGCTAGGGATTTCTCCAAAAATATGTGCTCGAGAATTTTACATTACTACACAAAATACATATTAATGTTGCTCACTATATAGGATTACTAATGTCTTTGAATCTCACCTTTGTACTTCAACAGTTCCTAATGTCTCATAAGCAAATTCAGACTTATCATCCACTCTAATGGCCTCTTTCATCAGTTCCACTGCATTTGCAATCTCTCCTTTCCACTGTAATATTAATAATCCTTTATGGACATATATAGAAGCGTTATTAGGGTCTATTTTCAAAGCACTTTGGTACAATTTTTCAGCTTCTTGGAATTCTTGTTTTTCTGTTTTGACTTGGGCAAAGAGAATGTATGTCTCTGGACAAGATGGGAATTTATCAACTGCTTTCCTGAACTCTTGCATGCTGTCCATCAAAAGAGTCACATCTTTGATTTGCATTGCATATCTGTAATCAGCATAACATTTTTGTACTACAGCAACTGCAAAATTTGGGTTCAAGGTTACAGCTCTTTCGAAATCTTTTCTGGCATCATCTATTTGTTCCATAAGAAGTTTGACTTGTCCTCTGTGGTGGAATACATCTACAATAAGATATTTTTAAAATCAAAACAAAAATAGCTCATATCTTTTAAACCTGATACATCTGGTCCCAATTCAGCAGCTTTTTCAAAATCATCAAGGCATTCCTGAATCTTTTCTGTTTGCATATAGATTGATGATCTCTTGATTAGAGCATTGATCTTAATAAGAAGGTCTGCATCCTTAGAATCGATGATTAATGTTAGATCTTCTATGGCTTCTTTGAACTGGCCAGTAAGGAAATAAAATGCTGCTCTTAAAGATAATGCCTCAAATTTGTATACCGATTCGGACTCGCTTAGGTTTAATTCTTCTGTGCATGCTGGAATAATTTCCTCATATTTCTCTGTAGCAAATGCCAATTTAGCCTTGAGGAAGCCTAAGTAAGAAAATAATTTTTATACATTTAACTCATGTGAAAATAGGTGGATCAATGGGAATTGTGATCTCTAGCTCCTCTTATACTATTTTTTATACAGTATTACTACAATGGATGAAACTGCTGTTAAATATTTTTTTAAAATATGTAAATTGATATTTAGTGAATAATGTGATCATTGTGGAGTTTTTGTAGCATAACAAATGTATTGACTGAAGAGATAAGCGATTGATTTGTAGTCAATTTCCATTGCACCAACTAGCCTATTTTCATAAATTAGATACATTAACAATTTAAACCTCATTTATTTACCTACCTTTTAGATCACCTTGTCCTAAAGGTTCATTTGCCTCCTTTAACTTATCATAAACAGGGTCTGCAGAAAAAGATGAAAAATAAGTTTTAATAAAACTGTGAGATGGTATCACAGGTTTTCTGTTTTTAACAGCTTCAGCAGCATTCTGTTTGCCGAGTTCTTTTAAAACGCGATCAGCCATAAGCAATGCAGTCTGGTTTTGGAAATTTTGTAATAAGCAAACTGATGTTATATCATCTAATGCATTTACCCAGTCTTTAATCATTTCTTCTGCTTTGGCTCTCCTGAAAAGAGCTTTTTCATAACGGTTGTTGAGTTCTATAGCTTTTGTGCAATCTGCAATGACCGAACTCCATTTTTTCAGTTGCTCATAAGCAGCAGCTCTATTTTGATAGTAAGTAGCAAGATCAGATTTGTATTCTTCAGGAATCTTTTCGATAGCTTTGTTGTAGCAGGTGATGGCATCGTCATATCTACCTCTCTTAAAGAATTCATTACCCTCTACTTTATACTTTTGAGCTAATTGGAAAGGACTTTCTTCTTTAGGTTCCTCGAGTGCTGAATTATGGGTTTGTATTGTTTCTCTTTTACTAGATCTAAGATACCAATAGGCTAATCCTATGGCTCCGGCGGCACCTAAACCTAGTGCAATATGCCATTTTAAAGAATTTGATGGCATTTTCTTAAAATTTTATTGATGAGACCTGTCAGTACATTTCAAAACCTTAGGGGTCTATATAAAAAGTGAGGTTATAAATATAGCAGTTTTTTGAGTTGTCTCTGGAGTTTCAGTTCATTGGTTTCTACGAATCTGGAATCAGTTTATTAAATTAAACACTGATTGGAAATACGAGTCAGCTTTATCCTCACATAATGGTTAAATCTTAAAACAGTTTATTTGATTAAAAAAATGTTTCCAGGCTGAAAAATGCCAAATTTGGATATTCTTTAAGTGGAGGGATAATGACGTAATTGATATTTTCAATAACATCGCGAATATTTTTTAATTATTGACATTTCAAGATTTAATTATTTGAAAAGAAGGCGACGAGTTCGGATAATTTTAATTTTCATATTATAGGGTGGCTAGATAAATAAAATAATGGAAAGGGAACATTCCAAGAATTCTTATATTTATGTAAACAGTGAATATGGATTTGAACATAATATAGTTATTCCTTGTGAAGATCCAATAAGTGAATTGGTACATATTATGATTTTAAAACATAATCTACCCATTTATGTTGAACTTGAATTAAACCAAGATGTAGAAAAGTTTATTAAAGAAAGAAGTACGGATTATTTCAATGAAGAAACTACCAAAATGATCGAAGAAGCGAAAGAAAATAAAATAAACTTGGAAGAAATAACTAAAAAATGGGAAAAGGTACTAAAAGAAGAAATGGCTGAATATGGAGAATGCAGATGCGCTTCTGACGACGAGCTTTTCGCCACAGCTTACCACAAAATGGTACATTCACCGGCTTTGGAAACAATGCTCCACTTGGAACATATGTACTCTCAAACAGTAAGACAAAAAACGGAAGAAAAAAAATCTGTAATTCAAGAACTATCTGAAAGTCAAAATAAAGAAATGAATAATGCCGTAGATAGATTAGAAAAAGATATGACTGAAACTAAAATAAATGAGTTAGTAGCAAGACACTATGAAACACACTCATTGATGCAGGGAAAATTAAATAGTGAATTGGATACCCTTAAGGAAGCTCAGAGGAGAGAATACAGAGACTGGATAATGCAGATGCTGGAACAAAATCAAACTACTAGCTCTCTACGTACACCTAATTCTCCATTGACTCCTCCTGATGTGATGATACCCACTCACAGTTTAGATCTTGATATTCAAGATACTCCAATGCTAGAAGAAAGTTTCACAATACATTTAGGTTCGCAACTGAAGCAGATGCACAATATTAGAATTCTGTCAGCAAATGTTATGGATCTTTGTACAGTTGAAGATGGCAAGCAGTCTTCTGAACCAAAGCCCCAACTGATACAAACAGCTCTAGCTCTTTACTCTAATGATTTGTCTGGTTTAGTTCTATTAGCTGATAATAAAATTGGTTCAAGGGGGATACAAGAGTTTCAGGAAGTGTGCCAGAAATCCACAGAATTTCATTTTGCACATATTGAAGATCAGCTAGATAAAATATCCAACATTGCCCAAAAATACCTGAAAAGTGATCACAAGAATGAAAATAGAAATTCGCATAGTGAACTACTTCAACCTGGTGATTTTTACATCACCAAGCATTCAAATTTAGCACAAGTTCATGTAATTTTCCACATGGTATCAGATGATTCTCTTAGAGGCAATGATATTAATAGTCGCCATCCTGTAGTTTTAGGTTTAAGAAATATTCTTAGAACAGCTTGCTCCAATGATATTACTTCTTTGACCATTCCTTTGCTCTTACAGTATGAAATGACTGAAGAGATGACAATTTCTTGGTGTGAAAAAAGAGCAGAATTGGTTTTTAAGTGTGTTAAAGGTTTCATGATTGAAATGGCTTCATGGGGTGGATCAGATTTGAAAAACTTGCAATTCATGGTCCCTCAAGGTATTTCAAATCAGGTGTTCCAGTCACTAACGGATATGTTGCCTAGAATATTTAAGGTATCTAATCCTAAAATACTGCAGTAAATAGTAATGTCTTTACCTTAATTTGCTGCATATTTATAATAAAAGAATCTATTAGATCATTATTTGAAATATAACAACAATAAGATTAAAAATGTAAAGGATATACAAGGTTCTAAAATTGATTGCTTCAATTTGTTGTAGTAATCAATCTACAAATAATGAGTTGAAGGTGTATTATAGAGTAATTAAGCTTATTTAAAAAACAGATAATATATAACATGTACATTATAAAGAAAATATAATTATTTAACTAAACTGACTATTTTTTCCTGGTCCATAAGTAAATCAGTATCTATTTTCGATAGATTTTCTCTACTAATTTTAAAATCTTCAAAGTTTCTTCTGGAGAACTTATCAGCTTCTCTGCTTGGGTTTCGACAGTACAAGATTTGGTAATTCTAAAAGAGGCAGCATTTCCCTTCAAAGCACTAATTGCATCTTCATCAGTTGTATCATCCCCTACGAATATTACCTTAGATTCATTTTGCCAACTAGAACCATATTCCTTTTCTAATAGTAAAATAGCAACCTTTCCTTTATTCCAATCAACTTTAGGTCTAGCTTCCAATGCCATATGGGCTTTACCCACTTTAAAATTGGCCTCTTCTATTATTTTTTGGGCTTCTGTTTCTATTTGGCTTCGTTGTTCTTCAGGACATTCACGGAAATGAAAAGTAAGACTAGCCCCTTTATTTTCAATCCAAGCACCATCTCTAACAACTGTTTTTTCTAATTGTTTGACCAAAACTCTCACTTGTTCTTCAAAATTTTTTGGTAAAGTATGTTTGTATGTAGAACCATCTGGATAAATGACTTCCAATCCGTGATTCCCAGCAAAAGTAATATTCTGTATACCAACCATGGTTTTAACATTCAAAACATTTCTGCCTGATATAATTGCAACAAAAATTTCAGGAATCTTCACTAGCTTCTCTAGAACTTCTTTGGTTTCTGGTGGTATTACTGCAAGATCGGGATGTTGAACAATTGGCGTTAATGTACCATCATAGTCCAATAAAACTGCAAGTTTTGGTTTGCCTTGCAAATAATTCACCAAGTAATCTTCATAATCATCAAATACTATATTTTGATTACTACACATTTTCTAAAAGGGGTAAGAAACAAAATTGTCTTATCACTTTACAGTAAAACTAGATGAAAGTGCACAACAAAATTTTATTTGCTTGTATTAGATTAAACATATAAATGATTACAATAAAAACACAGATAAAAGTTTAGAATGTCAACAAGGTCATTAAATCGAATCAAGTAAACTGTACTTGGTTTTATTATTAAAAAATGTATACCTATGCACTATTTTAATCTTTTAACAAGAAAAATCATAAAATACATGAAAATTTACCTGATTTATTAAATAATTAAAATTTCCTCACATCGCTAATTTTGAAAATGTGATGGATGACATTAAAGTAGGGAACATCGATTTTTCGGTTTCGATTATCGATGTTAAATGTTAACATCGATGTTTTTATGCGTCGATTTTTTAATTATTAATTGCTGCGTTTGAGAATCCACATCGGATGCATTTTTTACATCTCGAGCGTTTTTTTATCCACATCGGACACATCTGTCCCATTACATTTACGTATACTGAATCACGTGATCAAAGATTTTTTACATCTGCTGCGTTTGAGAATCCACATCGGATGCATCTGAGATGTAAAAAATCTTTGATCACGTGATTCAGTATACGTAAATGTAATGGGACAGATGTGTCCGATGTGGATAAAAAAACGCTCGAGATGTAAAAAATGCATCCGATGTGGATTCTCAAACGCAGCAATCTCAGATGCATCCGATGTGGATTCTCAAACGCAGCAAATATCGATGTTTTTAATTAACGATGATTTTTTGGTTTTTGAATCCCTTTTTGTCTTCGAGCATATATTACTAGAGCCATCGTCCAAATGGACTTTGTTTTGGTACAGGCACAGAATACTTTTAGGTTAATCTGTGGTACAGGGGGAAAAATAGTGTCGAGCATTCCTATTGGTCTGTTTCGTTTTGCTTCGTTCGAAATTGTCAGAACTGTCTTTTGATTTTCACTAATTTCTAGCTTATTTTTGTAGTTTATAAGTGATTTTTTGTATTTTATTACTTTAGTGATACAAATTTTAACAATGGTGAGAGTTTGTGTAAGTTTTAAATAGAAATACAAAGGTTTGTTCCAACAACAATTTTGGGACCATACATAAACCAGTCCATAACTTATTGTCGACGACTGATAGTCGACGACCTGTCGAGGATTGGGACGGGACGCGATTCGAAACTTGGATGTGTTGGAACACATTTTTGTGTTGTCAAACACACTCTGTTAATAACGTCAAAGTAAAACCAAATTTAACAAATATAAAATTTTGAATTTGGGAAGTAAAAAAATTATAAAACTCATGAAAAGATTTATAAATTTTGATTATTCGATTTTTAGAGTTGGTGGTGGTTTATTTACGAGCTCACTTTCGTTTTGCGCATATCTTGACAATTCGTTCATATTCACACCCAGAAACTGATTTGACAGTACAGAAACTGGTTTGTGATTAGGTTTGAGTGTGTTGGAACACTAGGTTTTTGTACAGTTTTGAGTCCGAAGTTTGTTGGAACATCAAATCTAGACTGCGCAGAATCCCGACAGTACGGAAACCGATTTGCTATTGTGTTGGAACCAGTGAACTCTAACTGGGGGTCGATTCTCGACTTGTAGGAACCTTTTCCTATAGGAATTTGTGACACTTTCCTATATGTAGGAAAATGTCATAAATTTTCGATGTATATAAAAATGTCAAAAATTCCTATAGGAAAAAATTTCCTACGAGTCGAGAATCGACCCCCTGGGGGTCGATTCTGGACCGTATCTGTTTAAAATTTTAAATTAATTTTATTTTAAATATTTTGGAAAAATGAAATCTGCGAATCGGTCTCAAATTATGCGAACTACCACCCCTACAAATTTGAACGCCAAGTTCGGAAACACCCTGTATGTTGAAGATGTTAAATCAATAATTTTTTTTTGTAGGTTTCCAACTAATCCTGCCGAAAAACGCATTTGGTGAAACTTATTGAAACTTACTCCAGAAAACAATTCAAATATGTTCCAATCATTTTTCTGGACATGTTTGTGTCAAAGACTGGTGGATGCGGAGGAAGAACTAGATTAATTCCATGTGCATTACCATCAGGATTTACTGAGGCCTCAGAAGAAGATGAATCTAAAAGGTAAAGGACTCTTCACTTTTCGTGTCGTTCAAAATTTTTAATTTTTCAGAGATGATCTGAACCATGCAGCCTCTGTTGGAGAAAACGAAAATGCAGAATAAGAAAACATGTAAGTAACTAAGAACTTTTTAATGCAACATAAATTTTATTTTCAAATACTTACCTATTACTACCTATTGTTTATAAACCACAAAAATTGACAATAATTATTTTTTATTAAATATATCTATGTTCTTTAATTAAGTAAACTGCTAGTCGTTAAGAAATAAGCAAAGCGTAATGTGAGTTTTTCAATAAAAAAGTAATTTTATGCTTCTTTTATTTATACTCCTAGTCATTAAGAAATAATCGAAGCTTAAGACAGTTTTCCAGTAAAAAATAAACTTCACTTATTTGTTAACGACTGGCAGTGCAAATGTACCTAAGTATTAGCTTGATTTCTATTTGTAGTATATCGTTTGGTAATCTATTGAACATTATTTACGAACAATATTTTTATATTTAATAAATTATTGGAAAAAATTATTTTATTGTAATTCTCGTACACGTGTGTGTTAATCAATATCATAAATATCACTAATTATTTATATTTTTGATTTTTAAATATAAGCTCTTTATCTTTTTTTATTCCCTATTATTTCAACCTTCATTTTTCCGTTATACACTTTCTGATGTTTGAATAAAAAAAAAAATCTGGATGTGTCCAACATAAATAATAATAATAATTCACTATTAATAGATACTTACTTAAATAATGCGAGTTTATAAAATATGTGCATAATTTAAAGAATTTTAAAGGTATGTATCAAATTTATTATTTATATTAATTGCAAACCCCGTAAAATTGATGCGACACTGGAAATAGTGTCTACCTATTTCCCCTCTTAGAACAGAAGTAAAAGTTGGAAATCACATACTTTGATTTTCTTTTACTATACGGAGAATGGTCGCACTGCGCAGCTTTCTGAGTGCCTTTTAAAAGGAGATAGAAAACTCCGCCATTTTGAACCCTTATTACGTGTTGCCTACATCTTGGCGCAATATTTTTAATAGGTGCGTTTTAATCATCCACTTTTGCTTCGGAATTGTCTGTTTTCTTGTTTTAATCTGACAGGTTAGAACGACTGAACCGACAATTCCGGAAGCAGAAGCGGATGATTAAAACGCACGTGATACCTATTTTGCTTGCTGCTGTCAGTGTCAGTGAATATTATTTTTGGAGTCACAGTTTATTGCTAAAGAATCAGTTAGCTCACTAGGACCAGTTGAAAGTTCTAAAATAACATCCACTCCAGGAATACAAATTCAGGATACGCAGAAGACTGCTGTTTTATTATAGGCGGTTGTCATATATTGTATTTTCCGAGTTGCGCAGTGTATAAACTGGAACATTGAGATAAAAAGTGCCGACGCAGAGTGAGCGATCTGATTCTTTAGCTATAAACTGTGTCATAGGGTTCAAAATGGCCGCGCCCTATGTTGGGCGTGTCGGACCTCTCTCTTGCCCCGTATAGTAATCAAAATAGGTCTTTTCCTTTGCATCGAAAGTGTAGCACTGAGCTACACCACTTCTGAAAATATCGTTCCATTTATACAAATTGTATGGATGGAACGATATTTTCAGAAGTGATGTATCCATAGCCCTCAGAACGTCTAGATACCGCATCGTAAAAACATTTTGACCCCCCATATGATGGGCGCCATGATAAATAAATGTCAATAAATTTTAAGTTGGCGCTACTGACAAGACAGAATCGGCGCAAGTTTAGTAATAAGCGTAAGATCGGCGTTCGACGTATATAATCGATTTTATTATCTGTTGTGTTGTTTATTTTGTTTTTCTAGTAAAGGTTTTATTTAAAACATTATTTTTTAGTTTAGTCGTTTAGTGTTTTATTTTAATAAAAAACATTTGTGGTTTGGTGTTAAATTTTTACAGGATTTTCAAAATTTCTTTTTGTTTTGTACGTGAATGTAACAATGCATCTAACGGTAGAAGATACAAGGAAGGAATAACATTTCATGTGTAAGTTTTCACAAATATTTGTGTATTTACAAAATCAAATAATTTGGGAAAAATTTGAGTATATACAAAACTCACCGATTTTTACAAAAATTTGAGAAAATGTTGTATAGACTGTTTATAATTCGGTACCATACTTTTTTTTTAGCGGAACTACTATTGCACCTTATTTTTTTCGTTTTTTATTTTGAATTTTTACACCATTTTTTTGAGTGAAAAGTCATAAACCACTAATAATCCGATGACACGATGACAGAATTCTATTGTTTATAATCGATATATTCTATAAATCGATATTTTTGTTTTGATGTATCTACTGTAAAATTATTAAAAAAATACAGAAATAATCATTAAAAAGCCATTTTAACTGTAAACTAAAATCAGCTGATGAACTAACGCAGTTAATATTATGTTTTAATTTGTTAATTTGTATTATGACATACTTTAGATTTTCTGAATGAAAATCGATTTTTTCTTTAAATTACAGTGTTGCCGGTTTTTATTCAGAGTTGACCCGAGTAAAACAAAAAATACCTAATAATTACTTTGACATTTAAATTTTGTGCTCTTTTTAAAAAAGTCAAAATTATATCTTTAAAAATGTTAAATTTGGTAAAATTATTTAAAATTTGTGAAAATAAAGTAGCAATGATAGAATTTTTACAAAAGTGGAAGTTAATACCAAAAGAAGGCACTTTTTTGTGTCCACGATGCAAACAGCCGTTAAAACTTTCTGTAGATGCAAGATCGTAAGTTGTATTTTTTGTTGTAACATTTTTTATAATATGTTTGTGTATAAGATTTTGATAAACTGACTTAGTAATTTACCGATTATTTAAACTGTAACAGTATCGGTTGTTACTATTTTATTTTCAATTTAAAATATATTTATTTTATTTTAGGGCTGATCATTATTATTGGCGATGCCAAAATAGTGTTCGAATTAACAAAAAAAAACGGCGGCCATGTGGATACAGAAGCAGTTTGAGGAAGGGTAGTTTTTTTTGGAAATCAAAATTACCAATTTTTAAAATTTTGGGATTTGTAAATTTGTGGGTTCATAATGTTACATTAGAAGCAATTTGCATTCAACTAGATATAAATAGAAGAACGGCAGTAGACTGGGCGAGCTTTTGTAGAGAAGTGGTACTAAATGGTTTGTTGGGAAATGAGGAGAAACTTGGCGGGCCTAATACAATAGTAGAAATTGACGAGAGCAAATTTGGGAAACGAAAGTATAATAAAGGGCACCATGTGGAAGGACAATGGGTCTTTGGAGGTTACGAAAGGGGAACAGGAAGAATATTTATGGTGGCTGTTGAAAGTCGTGATAGTGATACCCTTCTTCCTATTATTGAAAAATATATCGAGAAGGGTACTACTATCATATCAGACTGTTGGAAGTCTTATAACTGCCTCACCGATCGTGGTTATAACCATTTGATCGTTAACCATTCCGTCACCTTCAAAGATCCAGAGTCGGGGGCACATACGAATAGTATCGAGTCATCTTGGAGACACGCTAAAGCTATAACGCTGTCAAATGGCAGAAAGAAAGCACATGTACCTGGCAATCTTGCAAGGTACATTTTTTATAAAAGGTGTGCTCATTTAAATGTTGACAGAACAACGGAATTTTTTGAAATGGCGGGAAAATTGTATGACCCCCGAATAAACGAGTTGGATCAGAATGATGATGAAGATAGGACAGATGAAAATAGGACAGATGAAGACAGGAAAGAAGATGAAGAAGATTTGGAAATGTAAAAATTATTATGTTTGTATTTGGTTTAATTTTATATTTTTTGTTTGTTCCTTTT